TTTTTTTTTTAAATGCAGTAACAAAATTAATAATATAAGTTTAAGTATACCAGATAAACGGGTTCTTAGTGATTTACCTCAGCAGTAGTTGAAGTTGCTGGGAAATGGTAAGTGATGACAGACTGTTTCTTGAGATATTTGGACTGGAAAAAGTCAACGATTTTCTCCAAAGCCTCTTCCTCCTCTTCCTCATACTTGTCATCTGCCGCCAATCGGTCCCTCAAAGCGCTCTCGATCTGAACTCCATATTGCGCGCCTTTGATCTCCTTGATCACCACAATTCTTACCAACTTCTCCACAGGAGCTGTTTTTTTGTTTACAAGTGTAAATCCGTTAAGATAGCTTTTCCATCAAAAATTTATACATTAAAATTTTAGAATTATATATATATATATATATATATATATATATTACTTCATATGTTCGATTAAAAAATTAAATTGTGGTTGAACCTATGAAACAAACGCGCGGTATTAATTACCTGAAATGAGAGCTGTAAAGAAGTCATCGTCTTTCGCGAGCTCATTTCCCGTCTTGCCCTTCCACTGCTCTAAATGATTCACAACCACGGAGTCCAAGTAGACTCCGATGGCCGTGAATTTGATTTGAAGAAAGTGTACCTCAATGTCTGTGATACCTGTTTCATATGTAATTTTGCACTCCAGTTATTATTTGCAAATATATATATATATATATATATATATATATATACACACATATGTATGTATTTGTAATGAACTAGGAAAAGTACAAGTGGAATTACCATGACCCAGAAGAGCTAATGGCTTGGTGATCGTGATCTCTTTAGGAAAAGGGATTTCATCAACGATCACGACTTCAGAACCCACTGTGATGGATAAAGAAAAATCAGAAAAAGATAAAAGAAAGATGACATAAAAAAACTTATAAATCATGTTATACTATAAAAAAAGTTCCGTAGCTAAGACAAAACAAGAGAGAGATGAAGGCCGTACTTCTAGTTTATGTGGCCGGTGAGGAGTTGATTGTATCTTTTGATCAAAAGGAGAAGATTGAAGAAGAATAGAGCAGAGAAATGTGGAGGATTTTGATAGAAAATGAAGGATTTAGCTGATATTTAATAATAATAATAATAAGTGTCTCTTTTAAGCGCAGTTGTTTACTAATTTAAAAAAAAATAAAAATAAATCTATCTTCCAGTTGGCATCGTGGTTGGTGAAATTTGACAATATTTTTCATCATTTGTGAGTTCATCTCATTTTCTTCCTCTTTGACTAGTATCTAACGTTGAAATTCCAAAAATAGCCCCCCAACTGTCCTTCAAACTCTCATGTTTCGGTTTTTACAATTCTCAACTATCAACGGCTCACGCTCTTTTTAAGTTTTGGCGTTACATTCACACCAAGATTGTCGTTTTTCTCATTCAGTTTGATACAATGTCCTTCCTAGTGGTCTCCGCTATCCTCACCCGCTTATCATGACGTGTTGGTCAATTCAAGTGTCCTACAATAAGTTTATTTTGAGTATATTTCTTTTTTTTTTT